ATCCAAATTGAATTAAGTCATAAATAGAAGTGCTACACTGATGTTAGAGAGGCATTGATGGAACATTGGCCGACCGCCCTGCAAAATTGACAGTGACAGAAGTTTTCCCTGAAGGAAAATACTAATGTAAACAATGGAATACGGTTTCAAAATATCCGCACTCCCAATGCTGCTTCTGTTTACATTTCCTCACCAAAACTACTCCAGTTTGAGGACCAGGCAGAATTGGACGAAGAAGGGACGGGATGAGGTCGAGGCTAAGATGCCACCTCTTTCCATTTAATTTAAAAAGGGAAATATTTCATGAAAATGTTACGGAACTTCGATCAGGTTAACCCACACTATCACAACATCCCAGATGGACACTCTGATTCATTCTCTCCCTGTACCACACATGCCATTTATTAAAAACACCAGTCTCATAAATCTAGTCAAGTAATTCAGTATAACATCTTTACTGGCACTTTAACGTTCCTCAAACAAGCAGCGGTGAAATCCTCTGGACCAGCAAAGTTTCAGTAAGGAACATGAGTGTCCTTCCTTGTGAGTGTTTGTTTGTATACAGTTTGCACACCAATAAAAAGTGAGAGAAAAGGAGGAAAAAACAAGCGATCTCGCTGATGCGCTCTGGATTGGGCTGCGTTTCTTTTTCCAGACATCTGCAAAGATCATCTGGGCCTTCATCTGAGCCTCATTAGGCCTCTCTCTGTTTTTATTAAAGACAGGGAGATGATTTCTCCATCAGATACAGTATTACCACTGGACCGCAGCCTAAAACTGGCAATCAATATCCCATTCAGAACATATATGTGATTATGTACTGCTCACGAGGGTCATTGCATTGTGCGTTACATTATGACATTTATTGAGGGGTAATGAATTGAACACTGGAGGGCAGTTTTTCTGACCAAAATGAAGCCTGCTTTGCAATGAAGAAGTATCTGAAGACAATCCTGACTTTAGTCCAGGACCATAAGTGAAATGGATCTTGAAACCTTGGCATAACTTTTAAACCTACGAGTTTTATGATTCTCAACCACAAATGACTTTTCATTACTAATTGTTTTATGAAAAGAAGATATTGATCTAAGAAAGACATTTTCATTCATTTTAAACCACTACATTTTCCACTCCTAACCATGTTTCCCACAGTCCAGCTGTTAATAATCTTTTATATATATACTGTATATATATAATTCATATTTCTAAAGCTGTTATACCGTCTTTTGTTCTTTATCTGAATCGGTGGAACACCTGCTTGGTAACTGAGGCCAAAGTGTAAAAGTCCAGACGTTGGCGGTATTAAAAACAGTGTGAAGAGGAGGAACCATAGTAGCTCCAGAAGACACGGTTACACATGAGTCAATGGATTTCTCAAGCTGTGGAAAGAAACTGGCGGCCAGAGTGAATAAGTCTTGAACGGGGGGCCTGGGGACTGTTGATAGATTTGCCATCAGAGCTACTTAAGGCCCTCACACTCACACATCAAACAGGCAGCACACAGCAAACATTCATTTCAGCACTCGCTATATCATAACTTAGATTCTCAAAAGGTAGCACTCTTCCCTCATCGATCACTGTATCGAGAAAATGGAGGGGAAAAATGCAATAATGTGTGTGTTGGGGGACACTTGTCTCAATAGCAGTCTTCCTGTTTCAGAAAAGCAATGTAAATGAGCAGTGGTACAATATGTTCAGCAGATCCGTTTGTGTGCATGTGTTTATATATACGTACAGTGTGTGTTTGAGGCTTATGTAAATGAGCTGTGAGAGTCTCCAGTGTCTGTGAATCATTTCCTGTTTGCCATATTGATCTAATCATCCTGGGGTTTTACTGTCAGATGCGCCCCAAACAAACTCTCTCTCTGTGTGTGTGTGTGTGTGTGTGTGTGTGTGTGTGTGTGTGTGTGTGCGTGCTCCACAAATATGAGTCCTTTTTTGTGCTTTTAAGAGCCCTATATAAATAACCCATCATTGGTACATCTGTACACTAATATAATTAAATATTTGCAATTTATGTTGTTTGTGGGAAAAAAAGGTCAATGTGGACCTTTTTCCTCAACATAATGACGTAGTCAAGTCATCTACAAGCGTGGCTATGGGAGTGACTGATCCACTGGGATTTATAGTTTTAGGTGATTGGCTCAAAAACACCTGGCAACATGCGCTGAATTTTTGCAAAAATTCAATTTTTAATTGTATTATATTAGTGGTATATAAACAAAGTAATTATCTGTTACATTAAAGAAAAAGCCCATAAGCTAGCATAATATTAGTAAGCTAGCATAATATTAGTAATAATATCCGGGGCAGCCAAACAAACAAGTGCTGCTACCTACTAGATAAACGGAAATGCTTAGCTTCCTCAAGGTAATATTATAAACCTTCTCGGAATGCCTTGAGCCTAGATAGATAGGCTAATCTGATCTAATCGTATGAAGAGTTCTAATGCAAAAACCTCTAAATGCCATCTTGGTCAAAAATGAGAAAACGATGCTGAGTAAATGCTCTCCACGCATAGTATGTTCATCAAGTACTTTCACTTCAAATGCGCTAAATCCCAGCCTCAACCCATTCAGAAGTACCAGTACTTATAGAAACCTACATAGTAGCCAGAAAGAAATGCTAATTTTAAAGAAAAACGTCAGACGTACTTAGAGGCTTTTGGATCTGAACTCTTCGTATCTAACTATAAATGCAGAGTGCGTTTAATGGAAAACATGGGATTGCATAAACTGTATATGTCAACATTTCCAAGTCCCAAAAATAAAAAAATAAAATATGCTGCTTAATTAGCCTATTTGTTTATCCGTTCATTCTTTTCTATCAAGCGCGCCACTCATAAAATCAATTTTAAAATGTTGGACATTAATAGGCCTACAGAATTTAGCACGAGGACTTATGACTTAGAAGCGGGAAAAAGTTTTTTCTATTGTATTTTTAAAGACTTTCATTAGGTGGGTTAAAAGTGAACTCAAAAGTAAAAACACATGAACTGGAACGGAAATTGTGTTCGTCAGACTGTTTTCTTTCTTTAATAAAAAGTAATCTCACAATTTACCAAAGCAGTCATTTAGTAACAGATGAAGCGTTGCATTTGGGTAACAAATGTAACGGTAGTGTGAGGAAACAGTAATTATATAATAACAAAAATGCATTTTTTAAAATATTTATTAATATGCACTCCATGTAAATTCCATATTTAAGGGCTTGAATTTAGGCATTGCCCATGGCTTGCTCAAGACCTATTATAGACCTTCAGTCCCATTGGACGAAGGTTGGCTAAGCAGATGCTGTTACACTTTGAGGCAGAGATGGCAAATGTTTAAAAGCATGCTCCACACTGCGAAATTGCCGGTTCCAACTCCTCAGTTATTCTTATTTAGAAAGTATACTTGTATAAGTGCTTGCTTTCTGTTACTTTTACACTGAACAAAAGCGTCCAAATAATACACCAATAATTTCATTTAAAAAAAAGCTTGTTATGGAGTATTGTTTATTTGTACTCGTGTTTGTCATTTGATATAGGCTACAATATGAAAGTTTAAAATAACATTTATAATAATTTACTAACTTTACAGTCATTTAAAAACACCAATATATTGGGGTAGGGTCTGCAATACAAATATTCCAAACAAAAGTTACTGTTTGTATTTCGAACCAGAGGGGGAAAAAATATAAAGGGGATTTGCAAAAGCAAACTGAAATTATTATTATTATTATTATTGTTGTTTTATATAGAAAAAGTAAATGATAGCTTTGGTATCATATGAATAAGCAGGTTTTCCTGTTAATTTAAATTGAGAACACATCCAAACAAGTTTTTCATCATGTTAAAAAAACTTTGTACTTTATTATGCACTTCTCTTGGACCTATATATGCAGTACCTATACACATTGTGGCACGCACACACACACAGTCTGTTATGTTTTCAGAGCCCATGTTTCATGTATTTCTATAAAAATAACAAAAAAAAATCACCCAGTTTAAAATTATTTAAATAATTTAAAAAAAAATAATAATAATCTATTTTAAAGAATTAACAAAAATAATTTAGGTATTTATGTAAATAATACAGCAAGCTTTAACGATTTTAACAAACATAATTTAAACGCTAAAACAAGGTAAAAAATAGATTATGCAAGCATGGAATATTTCGATTTTTTTCTCTTTTGGATCTCATTGATCGAACATTACTTTTAACGGCTCAATCGTTGTGTTGATTTAGAATAATAAAATCAATATTTTGTAAGGTATTTTTGTTAAGTGTAGACTGATAGCATATGATAAGATTTTATATTTTAAATCGATAAAAAGATAGACCCATAAAAATGTCAAAACAAATATATAGTCTCACATTTCCTAAAACGGCAGACATGAAATGTTCCTGTTAAATATTCTACAAAAAGACGCATATAGAGCACATCTCAATTTACTAGTCAAACTGAACAACCTTCCACTACAGACTATGTTGACATGGTTACTTGCTGCTGTTGCACTACAACGTGATTAAAATGTTATGTGTCAAACTTTCAGTTATTAAAATGAACACGCATAAAATACACCACCTTCCCCAGTGTTGGTGAATTAGGAATTTTGTCGTACTTCCTCACTCTTTCTGCCCCCATGTGGCCCTCACCGGACGCTCACGTGTGCCATGAAGTTCTCAGGAGCCCAAGAGGACACGAGAGAGCTGAGAAAAATATCGAGTAGGACAGCAGCACACATTATTTGTAACGTGTAAAAGAATCTTTAAACATCGAAACTAAAGTAAATCGTACTAGCCTATATTTTTCAAATATGGAAACTTATTTAATAGCCTATTCTCCCAGTCTCATTAGTAAAATGTCTTATATACTTCAAATATGAAAATATATTTAATATTCTCTTAGTCTCATCCCTATTTAGCAAAACTGCGTTACACAAATACGCTAATGGATACCTTAAGTAAACAAATGAACTTTATTTGAAAAGTTCTTAGTAAAATGTATTTCATTGGTCAGGAGTGGAAGAGCTCCTCGTAAGCAGGTGGAGAGGAGGCGCTGTCTGCTGTACTCGCTTTCTCTTCTTCTTCTTCCTCTGAGACACTGCGACTCCTGCAACGAAACCCGCAAATGTAGAATTAATCCACTTTGGTCAGCCCTTGGCGCAAATAATAACGTAAAAGTGTCTGACTGACTTTACTTTGTCTACGTTATTTGACTGTTATTTAAGCGTAATGAATCCGTCTACATGAGAATTTTGGGCAGACCGGTTAGTGTTGTAACGCATTTTGTTTTGTTTACATCTGTAACTGTGTTTTTCGAGTCTCAAACTTTGATATAATATTCACATATTTATCTGCTTCAAATTAAAGCAGTTTAGAAACCTGCAATTAATCCAAAGAAACAGTCGCAGCACCAATAAAAAACACTGACATTTTAAATATTGTGCATTATAAATTTATTGTGTGTATTACATTTACGTGTTTAAAATACGTCACCTCCATAAAAATAACCCACCCCCAGTCATCGATTAACCTCCCACATCGAGAAACATCGAATAAATCTTCTTATAAAGCATGTGAAGTTATACAATCTTACCTCAAAACAGGCTTATGATCTTAAATCCTTCTTATTTTTACACAGTTTAAGAACCTCCACTGTTACCTCAGGCAGGCGGTGCTCATATAATTAGTTAAACTCTATAGAGTTACAACACTCCCTGGTCTGCTCTATGAACTTTTAAATCTAAATTAAAAAATTGGCTTGAACAATACTGAGTTACATTTGAATCGTTACAATGAATGATTCAATAATACTTTAAGACAACGAGTTTATGCACTGCACTTAAGATTTCCTTGAGGTTTATGCCTATATTTAAAAATAGATGTCACAGCTCAAAACTGATGTACATTGTCAGTTACAGTAATTGTTTTCTTATTTAGTCTTTCAAGTTGTTTTCTTTGCAATATTATCTTTAATAAACCCAACATTTCTGATAAAACATTTCTTACATTTTTTTTTAATCAGCTCAAGCTGATATTAATGCTGTTTCTAGACTCCATGCTTGTGATCATGGTGTCTAAATTAATCTAATGCACACTATCATCAGTATTATAATCATTACCTGTTTTCCCTTTGCTCTGCTGTAGCATTGTCATGTTCACCAGAATTAAAACCAGGGTTTTCCACTGGATACATGCTGTAATACTGTGGTGGTGTGTTTACTGTGACTGCTAATGGCTGGTGATTTGAATGCAAACCATTAACAAGACTCAGACTTTGGTCTGGTACTACGGAGGTGTACGGTGGTGGGATGTACTGGACCACCGTGGCCCTGTGGAAGGTAATGGGCTGATTGAATCTAGTGAAGATGAACGATGGTCCTGAAAGGGGTGGCAGAGGGTCCGTTCCAGGTGTTCTCTCTCCATCATTCTGCTTGCAGCTCAGGCAGGACAGCATTCGGAACTTGCAGATGCTTATCAGCACAAATGTACCTCCTACTGACAGCAGAATGGGCCCCAGAAGCTGTGTCCACTCGTAGATGTGGCTGAAATTGTAATTTGTCCACCCCATAGCCGTGAATGTCATGCCAACCAGGCCCAAGAAGACTCCAGAGAACAGGAGCGTGGCACCAGCTTTGTCCCCATCTGACACCTGAGTGTTTGAAGAGCTTGGTGCTTGGCCGGGCATCAAAGAGACAACATTCACAGGGACATCACTGGGACTCTGGTTGCTGTCTGTGATGGTACTACAAACACCAGCAGGTACTGCATCACTTGGCCCGGCAAGAGGATTTGTCCCTTGATTCCTATTTTCCGTTGTGCTCTTCCAAAGATCTAGAATGCCGTAATGTCTCATCTGGCCAGAACTGCACTGTTTTTGTATAGTGGCTTAAGGATTTAGACACTTGTCTGACGAAGGTCCACTCATCTATGCCTGAAGGATCTTTTAAGAACATTGTTTATCTATTTTGGACATTGGCTCAGAAGCTTAGTTAACAGGTAACAGATCATTGCTCTTATGCTGTAGTCTTGAACACTCAGTCATCATGTTGGTGCGAGCACTGAAATGTGAAATGTGTCGCATGACAGAGCACATGCAGGAAACTGGCCGGTCCAAAGACTAAACCTAAAATTACTTTTTTTTTGACCAAATATTAAAATTTTATTACCAGACATTACCAAAATAACTGCCTTTTTCAATAGAATGAATAGATCAGTAAAACTAGGATCTGCAGTAAAAAAAAGTTTCCCATACAATATAAAAGGAATAGTTCACTCAAAAATGAAAATTGTCGTAATTTACTCCACCTTATGTCATTCTGAAGAATATCTCAACTGTTGTCCATACAATAAAAGTCAGAGGGGACATTTTTCAAAATCTGTTCCTTTGTGTTCGACAGAAGAAAATAAATGATCACAGAATTTTCACTTTCAGTTGAACTATCCTATTAATGTATCACCAAAATCAAAAGAGCAAAGTCTAGAGCATACATATATATGCACTATAAAAGTTTCATCATCATTTTTGCACACAACTTAACCCTTTTCATGCACAAGGGAACCATGTGGTAAAATTGCAATAGAATTTCCCTAAATGAGCCAAAACAGAGAGAGAAACGGAGATAAAAAGCTTTGTTTCCGACAATATCAAAACAATTCTGCATCACTTTAACTTTTCAAAGCCCTCTCTGGAGTCCAAATGGATTTGATTAGCAAAACAATGTTTCACCCAGAGCACTGCATAACCTAGCAAATTGCAACTATAGTGTCCAGTTCACCAAAAACACAAACTGTCACTTAACTTTGATGACACACTTATCTCACAGTAACATTTTACTGTGGTACTAAGGTAATACATATCCTCCTCTCTCAATGTCCAACAACAACAGATAGAATCATGAAATGTATTTGTCATGGTTCAACACATATGCATAATGTATATGCCATGTTTTATTGCAGACCATGTAATGTTTTTCACAGTCCATTGTTTACCTGTTGTTGTGGAACAGTATATGGAACTTGCAGGTAAATGCTGCCCAGAATTATTTTGTAAACTGGGACTGGACACTGGAGAGAACAGCATGATTTAAATCACAGGAGATGGTGAAAAAAATATGATATTTTTGATAGGATTGCGAGTATCGTGCTAAATTCCTCCAACTCTTCATGAAGGTCAAGCAGTATGTCAGAACCGTCCCATGCTAAAGACTTTGTTTTAATTATTTTCCCAAAAGCTCGAGGAGACACCTGAGAGACATTTAGGAAGAGAATAGATTCCAGCACAAGAATGTTTAAAATCGGCCCAGATTTTGGGCCTGACACACTCTTTCAATTAAGCCGAGTCCAAATATTTATGAGGAGAATATTTCCTCTTTCTCTCTCTCTCTTTCTCTCTCTTTGTGATCATGGTGTGTAGTATGCATGTGAATAACAAATGTGTTCTGGTATGTGTGTGTGCAGGATAGGTCTGCTTAAATGATATCTGCTCAGATATGGTCAGCGTGAAAGCTTTGGACAACCTACCAGTAAGTCTTTGTTTGAATCACCCCCAATTGATTCTCTCAGTTGAATTGAATTCGATGGGGTATGACAAAACAAAAGTAGAGAAGTTCTTCATATGAGCCAGCACTGGATTAATTATTAGTGGAGACTACATTGTCTCAGTATTGTACAAACATTAACAAATCACGGTAACTTATTGCTTCATTCGGCTCTAAATGATTAGCCAGCAAATCAAATCTTTTAATATTTGCAACTGTGGTTCACTCTTGATTCTTCTCTTGTCCTAATTTACCTCATCTCTCCTCTTCCTTCCAACGGTTCATATGCAGCGCACACTATCCACGTCCTCCAATGGGAAAAGCCCATCTGCAATCACAAAAGGGGCCTTAATGGGTTTCCATTGCACACTCTCTCTCCCACTCTTTTTGACCACCCACTTCATTTCAATGAGGCAGCACGTTGCTTCATGACATAGCCACGTACATCCTCCACAACCAATCAGCCGAGAGCTACTGCACCCATCTGTTTTCACCAGCCATATTTTGTTCTGCGCTTCTCCACTGCTTCATTCATTAATTTGTTAATTTAAAAGTTATGTGAATCTGTTCAGTGGTAAAAAAAAAAAACTTTTTATTACAAGTATATACTACATTAATACATTTTAAAACACCTGTTTTCTATTTTAATTATAACATTTGTGACCCTGGACCACAAAACCAGTCTTACGTCGCTTGGGGTATATTTGTAGCAATAGCCAAAAAAACATTGTATGGGTCAAAATTATCGATTTTTCTTTTATGCCAAAAATCATTAGGATATTAAGTAAAGATCATGTTCCATGAAGATATTTTGTAAATTTCCTACCGTAAATATATCAAAACTTAATTTTTGATTAGTAATATGCATTGCTAAGAACTTCATTTGGAAAACTTTAAAGGCGATTTTCTCAGTATTTTGATTTTTTTGCACCCTCAGATTCCAGATTTTCAAATAGTTGTATCTCAGCCAAATATTGTATTATCCTAACAAACCATACATCAATTTAGAGAAATTGACCCTTATGAATGGTTTTGTGGTCCAGGATCAAATTTAATTTTATCCTGAGATTGTTAATTTTATCCTGTGAAATTTCAGCGTCATATTTAGCCGCCAAAAATCATTCTGACATTCTGATTTGGTTCGCAAGAAATATATATATCACTGACCCTAAACTTTTAAACGCTAGTGTATATTTGAAACAACTGGTGAAAACATAAATGTCCTTTGAATGTCTTCAGATTTAAAGAATTTGACATCAAATCTTATCTACACATCAACTTTATGTAAATTATTAAATTACTTTACAATGTTACCTAAATGTATTATTTTATCTGCCAGCTCACTTTAAGATAAAAAAGTTAATTACAATGTACTTAAACACACATGAAGCAAGACGCAACACTGCAACAATATTACAGTAATATTAACACTGAAGTCCTCTGAAGTGATTTCACTACAGTTGAGATGCAAAATGGCACCAGTTGCATTTGTATGAAACAAAAGTATTTCAGATTCAGTCTGACACAAAGTTGCTATGAACAACACTGAATATTAGGAAAGATCAGCCAACTGAATGCTCATATTGACCAATTAGAAGTATCAAGTATTCAAGAGCATCATGCAATAACTCACACTGACAGACTTGCACAAATGACTTCATCGGTATGTGATTAGATATGATTATCTGCAATACAGGACACAAAGCCTTGACATTTGTTGGTGTGATCTGGTGCAGGCAATATTACCTCATCTTTGGCTGGCTGATAGTATAGACACTGTGGGGCTGCTCCATGGGAGTTAAGATGTCGCCATCCTCCATCATGGCCCCCGACCTTGTGACAAATTGCCCATGACGTGGCTCTGCTTGCCAGGCACGGAAGCCTGTTCTCTCTCGCATCTCTCATTCCCTTCAACCTGCCTTTCTCCTGTCCTCCCATTGTTCCATCCTTCCACTGCTCTGAACTCTCATCTACAGTTTCTCTTTGGCTCAGTATGGAGGAACAGTTTACGTGCCCGTTCACCAATCTGCTTTCAAACCAGAGAGCAGAGAGGCATAGACAGGGTAGGAGGGAGAGAGACACAAGGAGAGAAACAAATGCTGCTGCTGCTGCTGAGTAACTGAGGGGAACCAATCACAATAATCAAAGTAAAATCCAGGCAGAAGATGGACTTTTGTATCTGCCAGCCTGAAAACAAAAGCAGTTAAATTTTGTTTCCAAACACTCTGCTTTGTGACATGATTCTGGCCATTTTATTAGTCTTTCAAATTGTGAGCACCACTTCAAACATCCTCCCAAGTCTCTTGTCTGTACGCTTTATTTATGAAGACATTAAAAAATGGACCTTATACAGGATGAGACATCTGACTGCATCGAATGATCTATCTATGCAACCCACACTAGCTTGGAAAAGTTACAGAATGGAACATCAACCTCAAACAAACTGTTTATGTATTTTAAAGATTTGATGCCACTCACCTTGTCAAATTTGTTGAACTTGTCAAATCCCAACCCACACTAGCTTGGAAAAGTTACAGAATGGAACATCAACCTCAAACTGTTTATGTATTTTAAAGATTTGATGCCACTCACCTTGTCAAATTTGTTGAACTTGTCAAATCCAGTTATTATTTCATCCTTAAAAGCACTCTCTGTATTAATCTGTATTTATAATCCTGAAAGGAAACCAGCCAATCATACATTTTACAAGACTGAGAAAGTGCTTTTCATTTTTGTGCGCAATAATATGCATCAAACATTGCAAACACACACGTTTATTTAGCTTTTTTTTTTTTAAGTTTATTTATCTAAATTGGTTTCCAATTTCCAATTCCATAGACTAACCGGAAAATGTTGTGCATGTTTACAATATTAAAAACGTTATTTGCTTAATTAGCATACAATTTTTACAAAGAGAAAATGGAGATTTTGTCAGAGTTAACCCACTTTTGGTTACAGATGTGTCCCCAAAATATGGTTAAATAGGTATACACACGTTTACTTATCTACTTACATGGGAACAAATCATAAACCTCTATAATTTGAACACAGTCAATTATAAAGACCACAGACTAACCCGAACTCACTTCCATTTTGCTTTTTAGAATATAAAACTCACCATTCTTACTTCATGGATCAAACAGAGGGCTTTGTCAGACTCACACTAGCAGTTTGTTGAACAGGTTCCTACAGGAACCTACAGGTTCACAGCAGAACAGAAAAACATTTGAGCAACAGAGGACCTAACGTAACAGAGAAAGTGTACTGTGACTGCAGCATTACCTCACTTTTGGGGACAATACTGTGCCCCAACTAT